CATTATTTATCCAAAGTTGATTTGGAACTACTAGGAGGAGTGCTTCTATGAACACGCGTGCAGAGATTTTTGTGGGGAGTTGAGGTTTGGAGTTCCTGGACCATACAGTAGTGAGTCTATGTTTAACTGATTAAATGCCAAACATTTTCAAATGGCAGCCACATCATTTGATATTCCTGCTGGAAATACATGAGTGTTCCGGGGAGGATCTCTAGACCACGCCAACAAGAGAGTCATTGTTTCCCATTTTGGGGGTTACAATCTGTGCCCAAATTCAGGTCCAGCCACCCATCCTCACTAAGACAACTGAAAGAGCCACATTAAACAGCATGAAGCAGGAAGGATGTTTTCTCCCTGTGACCACGTTGGGACCAGACTTGAGGGGTCAGTGAATCTCCCTGTCCCGCCTGCCAGTGTGGCCACATTAGACCAATCTCCTTTCCTTGGTCTCCACTTTAAGCTTTTCTGCTTGGCTTATTGAGGGCAGGTGGCCAGATCTGACTTGGGGCCCAGGTTGTGACTCCCCAGGTTCAGCAACACTACTGTAGTGTCTGTAGTGTAGGATGACAGTGTGGTTTTCACTTGCATGTCTCCAATGACGAAGGCTACTGCGTGTCCTTTGGCATGCATATGGAACACAGCTATTTCTTTAGAGAAAGTATTCAAACTCTGTCCATCTATACACGTGCCACACACACACACACACACACACACACACAGACAGTATTTCTATCCATAAATGTTTTCTCCAATTATGTGGGCTATCTTTTTACTTTCCTTTATAGTGCCCCCTTTGATAAACAAAACATTTTATTTTTGATAAAGTCTAATCTATCTTTTTTTTTCCCTTGGGTAGCAAATCTAAGCAGTCATTATCTCAACCAAGGCCAGAAGGTTATACCTTTTCTACAAGTTTCATAGTTACATTTAAATCCTTGGTCCATCAAGAATTAATGTTTATATATGGTCCAACCTCTTTCTTTTGCATATGGATCTCCAGTTATTAACAACATTTGTTAATAATGAAAACATTGTTCTTCCTCATATTGCTCCCTTTGTTAAAACATCAGTTGGTCAGGGCTGGGCAGGGTAACTCCATGGTACAGCCCTTGCCCAGCTTGTGCAAAACCTGGGGATAAGGTGAAAAAACAGAAAACACTGAACTGCTCGCCTGCTCATCAGCAGAGGGCTTCCTTCCCCTCCACTGGTCTATGTGACTGAACCTAGGCCATTCCGCCCTGTCTCATCACAGCTTTGCAGTTAAGTTTTAAAATCAGAAAGTGTGCGTGCACACACTGCTTTGTTTCTACAAGATCGTTTTGGAGATTCTGAGTTCTCACAGTTTTCAGTATAAAATCTTCCACGCCTCTTGTCAATGTATCCAGCTGAGCAATCTTGAAGTTTACTGATACTTGGGACAGGCAGTTGCAATCTGCTGCCCAATTTTAGTAGTTTTTAAATGACTTATTATCAGGGGCTGTCTCAGTCACTGTTCTCCTGCTGTGAAGAGACACCATAGCCACGGCAACTCTCACAGAGGAAAACATTCAGTTGGGGCTGGCTTACAGTTTCAGAGGTTTAGTCCATCGTCATGGCAAGGAGCATGGTGGCAGGCGGGAGCTGGAGAGCAGCTGACAGTTCTGCATTCAGATTGGCAGGCAGGAAGACAGAGACACTGGGCCTGGCTTGGGTATTTGAAACCTCAAAGCCTACCCACAGTGAGACACTTCCTCCAACATGTAATCCCTGTCAAATAGCACCACTCCCTAATGAGCAAATACTCAATTATGTGAGCCTTTGAGGGTCATTCCCGTTCAAATCACCACAGGGGCTACCTATGGTGGTTTACGCCTTTAATTTCCCCACATAGGAGGCAGAAACAGGTGAATCTCTGTAAATTTGAGGCCAGCCTGGTCTACATAATAAGTTGAAGATAGCCAGGGCTATAAAGTAAGATTCTATCTCAAAAATAATTAGCAATTTAAGATATTAATTAATTAATTTATTTATTGGGTTTTTGTTTCTTTGGGGTTTCTTGGTCTGTTTGTTTGTTTGTTTGAGACAAGGTTTCTCTATGTAACAGTCCTGGTTGTCCTGGAACTCACTCTGTAGACCAGGCTGGCCTCAAACTCAGAGATCCACCTGCTTCTGCCTCCCAAGCGGTGGGATTAAAGGCGTTAATTTATTATTGAAATGTTAACTGCAGAACTTCTTTTTGGTTCTCTGATTTTTAAAAAACCGTATCTGTCTCTTATTGTTACTCTTTATTTGATGAGACACAATTTTATGTACCTTCCTTTAATCTTTTAGACACATTTTCTAATTCTTTAGATATATTAATCTACTAAATATAACAACTGGATTTCCTCAATTACAGTTTCAGTTTCCTGAGAGAGTTTTCCTTCTTTATGGGCTGGCCATAGTTTGGATTTTTGTTGTTGTCGTGTGTGTGGATTCTGTTTGTTTGTCTGTCTGTTTTTCGGCGCTGGGAACTGAAGTCAAGGTCTTGTGTGTATTAAGCATGCTCCCCATCAGTGAGCTCCACTCCCTGTCCCTGTCTCCTAACTCTTTTGTTGAAGACTGAACATTCAAAAACAATGATGTGGCAGCTCTGGGTCCCAGATTCCCTCCCCTCCCTGCAGCTGTTGTGTGTTGTTGTTGTTGGTTCCTGAGTTTTCACGAATGACAGTAATTTCCTTCAGTCTTTTAATCAAGAATGCGCCCAGGCTTTGCTGAGTGTCCTCCTCCCTCTGCCTTTGGGACTTGACTTCTGTGGCCAGCTGGGCAGTTTTATGACTCTCACCTTGGCCTTCTCTTCCTGTTTGTGAGAGCCTCAGCAGGTGACAAAGGGGAGAGGGGTTTCCTGGTCCTTTTCTTGTCACTGCAGAACCACGCCCAAACAGCCCAGCTTCTCAAGAATTTGTGGGAGTGCTCAAAACTCTCTACGAATATCTTTTATGCTTTCTTTTTCTTCCTTCAATCTCTTGATCCCAAAGGAAATCACTGCCTCAACACAATGCTTAAAAATCCCCACTGACCATCTGTGACCAACACCCTATTCATAAGGCTGTTTGTAGAGAAATCTCTGAATCCAGTCAAAATAACTGTAAGTCCTAAGAATGTAACTTTAAAAGCAGATTCCAGAGAGGTCACAGAGACAATAAGCCCACCTGAGAGATGGCTATTTTGGAAGACCCCAAACCCATGCTGGCTCTTTCCATCAGTTACTAGTTTTCTGGTCTCCACAATTATCTAAGTAAACTTGTGCCTTTCTGAGCCCACCTTGGAGATGAGGTTAGCTAGTGGGTTAAACTCAAATACCACAGCCATCCTTTTCAGTGACACCCAACTACTCTTTTTCTTTAAAAACGTGTTTCCAGATTATTTGAAAACCTTTGGTTAATTTCTCGAGGTTTGTAAAAGGCAGATTTTGATCATTATTGCCGATATTCTCACTGCTGAACAGATTTCTTTTAGAGGTCCTCGCCCCAAGATGCCGTGTTTCTCTTGAAGGAACACTTAAAAATGTTATTGTGATTCAGATCCTGTAAGACTTTCAGCAGGTAAAGGGTGCTTGACACCAAGCTTAATGGCCTAGTTCAATACCCAGAGCCCACATGGTGGAAGGAAAGAACAGATCCCCACAAATTCTCTGCACACGTGGGGAAGAGTGCATATACAAATTAATTAACTAAAAATTTTAGAACTATTGCCTAGGCCCAATTGTATTTTTATTTCCTTTTTACTTACAAAGTAACCCACTTCTTCTCACTCATCCCCTTCAGTGAGTAAATTACAAAATTTGAGGGGAGCTGGGGATATGGGGGAAAAAATTCCGACTTTTAAAAATAATTTCCCCATGCTCTGGCACTATGGAGGGAAGTTTCAGGAATAATGTGGATCTAATCAGTTTCTTCCCAAATAAATAAATAAAAATACAAGGGAGGTGCCTCAGCTGTGCAGGAAGCTCTGGGTTCAATCCCGGTGCCAAATATACTGGGTGTGATGGTGCACCCCTGTAAGCCCCAAATCTGGGACGTGAAGTTAGAGGAACAGAAATTCAAGGTTGTGGGCTGCAGTCATGACCTAGCAGTTAAGAGCTCATATGGTTCTTGCAGTGCAAGGGAGTTCACTCCCAGAAGCCATGTTATAACTGCTTGTAACTCAAGCTCCAAGAGATCAGAGACTCTGGCCTCCCAGAGCAATTGCCCTCACAGGCACATACCCACACACACTCACACAAACATGCAATTAAAAATAAAATAAACCTTGGGGGTGGCCACACACACCTTTAATGCCAGCACTCGGGAAACAGAGGCAGGCAGATCTCTGGAAGTTAGCAGGCAGCCTGGTCTACGTTGCAAGTTCCAGGCCAGCCAAGGTTACACAAGTGAGGCCCTGCCTCAAAACTTAAATAACTAAAATAAAGATTATGGCTTTGTAGAAATTCAAGGTCATCTTCCTGCACAGAGAACTCAAGGCAAGCCTAGAATGCATGGGACTGGGTCTTAAATAAGTAGGGCCACTTGGAAGGCTCTGTGACTAGATGCATCAGCCACCAAACGTGAGTTCAATCCTGATGCCCCCTGTAACGGAAGGAAAGGAATGACTCCTGGAAGGAAGGAAAGGAATGACTCCTGGAAGGAAGGAAAGGAATGACTCCTGGAAGTTGTTGACTGACCTCCCGACACGCGCGCTGCATCTTCCTGTCTCCAGCTGCATCCTCCTGTCTTCCACCCCAACACAAAATCAGCAAATGTAATTCAAAACCAAGTCAGTAAATAGCCAGATAGTCTTTCCAGCTCGAGGCTAGTCGTGAGATGAACTGGAAGTCAGAGGAGCACCAGAAAAGGCTATGCAATGTTCCGAGATAAAAAGGGCACCCCTGCCTGCGTGAGAAAGGCAGAGAGCTCCCAAACAGACCACCTACGTGCTAATTGCTCAACTGTGGACTTCCACTTCCAGGCCTTTACCACTTCTCCACTGCTTCAGAAGGCAGGCGCCGAGGTGAGGGACATGCACAGTAATCTGGCCAGTCCTCTTCTTGAGCAAAACTGGAATTGGTAAAGGATTGTGGGTGACACAAAAAGTGGAGGCTGGTGATTCATTCCTGGCGATGTCTTGGGCCAGATTCCAGAAGGCAGTATTTTCAGGAGGGAGGGAGGGAGATTTGCATACATGACCTCACCCAGGAGCTCGGCCCCACCGCATATAAACTGGAGAGCCGTGGAACTCAGTCTCACTACTGCCAGACCCAGCAACCAAGCAGGCAGAGCCATGGCTGCACTCCGTTCCTTGCTACCACAGCTGGGGCTGCTCCTGTGCTTGGCTCTGGGCTTTTCTCCTGCCTTCTCTGCAAGTAATAATGACCCCTGCATGGTCTTTGATACAATCTCTACCTTCACCTCGGACAGCTTGGGAATCAGCACTCAGATGGAAGTCTCTGGCGAGAACATAAGCTGGACAGGTGAGTCAAAGTCATTCATGCTGCTCTGCTTTGTTCTCCGAGAGCAAACCCCTCCATCCCCGCTCCCAACGTGTGTGAACAGGATGGGGAATGAGGAGGGCCGCTAATGAGTGAGAGTGGATTGGAAGGATGGTTTCTGCAGCTTCCGGTCCATATCTGAATTACGGTGGTCTAAAGCCCCAGTGCTCAGATGAACTGAGCCCCAGCCGGATCATACCTGGGCGAACATGTGGCTGCATTAAATTAGGGACACTGTTATTTTGAGGGATTTCATTGTGGTTACAGTCCCATCAGGTCCACTTGACAAAATGACCTTACCTGGCAGGACACCAGGAAGGAGGATTTGCATTTAGTGTGTGGGAAAGACCCTGTGAGCTAGAGGGAGCCTCAACAGCAGCACCCCCCCCCACCCCGTGTCTGTGGGGAGCCTGGGGGCAGAAATGTTAAATGGCTTGCTGGGGCTTCACTGAACACAGTGGAAGAAGCTGCCTGCCTTGGCTGTTCAATCATAAATAACCTAATGTTTTTCTTAGAGGTATCTGGAAAGTATTTCATAACTTTCCCCTTGGGGAATTCAACAGACCTACAAGTTAAATAATACGTTTTCTAATTAGTCAAACCTGTTAGTCAAGGAAAATGCTTTCTGCCTAGCTTTACTTACTCTTTAAAAAAATGTTCAATTTGTTTTTTAAAATTTCTATTATTATAGTGTGTGTTCTCTTAGGGTGTGCATATGTGTGTGCACACACATACCCTGGCACTCATGTGAAGGTCAGAAGATAAGGGTTTGAGGCTTGAACTCTGGTCACCAGGTTTTCGCAGCAAGCGCCTTTCCCCCCTGAGCCCTCTCACCTATCCTTTCCCCACACCTCCCACCACCTAGTTTTATAATAGCAGTAACATTTTCCTAGGGGGCTTCATAGATGAAAACGCTTAGCCCCCGCCCTGACCCACTAGGCGGACCTGTTGATACCCTGGTTTGTAGGTGAGCAGACAGGCACAGATGCTGTTGACTCCCTTCAGTTACAGGACTGTAAGAATCGTGGATCTGGATGGATGTCCACACTATAATGCTACGTCTTACAAGGTGCTAGATTTTGCTCTAAGGGAAAATGCTATCATTAGCCTCCATTTTACTGAGGAAATAAAGGAGGCATATAGAATTCAAGATTGTACCAAGGTCACTAGAATGTCACAGAACTAATATTTGAACCTAAGGAACACAGCCAAGAGCCACCCTTCTTACCACATTATGCCACCCGTCCTCTCTTAAAAGTCTAAACAAATTTTTCAGAGACCACCTTGGTTACGGCCCTACTCCATAACCAGCCTAGCACGTGAGCCACCTTGCCGCGCGGCGCCTTCCCCACAAGTGTCCTGCTGTCTCTCTACTGTTTCCTGGGCGGGTGGGGGGGGGCTGTTGCTAATCAAGTGCTCCTGCTGTGACAGGACTGTACCCTTCTTCCTTGAGAAGTGGGTCTTTTCATACCAGAGCAGGGAAGATAAGTCTGTAATTCAAGCTGAGCACTAAGTGAGCCTCTGATGTGAAATGGCGCATCGGGAGACAGGCAGGTCTGCTGCTGAAAAGGGAGAAAGAGCATCTACTGGGGGAAGATAAGATGAAGACAAG